ACAGAAAGAAAAACACTCCTCATAGTCATGCCGCAATCCTTTTCCCTCCATTTCTCCATTTTGTTTGGATTTGGGGTCTGCACGTACTTGCATCTGGCATGTGTTCAAACCTTGGGGGGCCAAGATCCAAACCTCGGATGGCTATGTGGGATCCAGCTCCCTTTAACTGCTACTGTATGGGGCCAACTCCTGGCTAGATTCCTTAATTAGAGACTGTTTTAAAGTAACCAGACTTCATGTAAAGAATAACTGTATGGTTCGGGAACCAGCAGTTAGTGTAATGGCTATGTCACTGGCCTCCCACGTAGTCGACCGCGGTTCGCGTCCCGGACCCGGTGGCTTAAAACTCACACCGGGCGCATGTGCGTGTGTGCCCAACATCCCGAGAGGAGAATGGAGGAGAAGGGATTGCGGCGTGGCTAACCCCTCTGGGGGGGGGTTTCTCGCTTTCTGTCTCTATGTCTCTCTCTGTCTGTCTGGCGAGCGCACGCGCCCTGTAGCGAAAATCTCTCCAAAAAAAAAAGAGAAGAATAACTGTGGTTCGAGTCCTGAACCTGGTGGCTTAAAAAGCACATGCATGTGCCAGGTACATGTGCATGCATGCATGCAGACCCAAAATCTGAAGAGGAGAATGGAGAAGGAGTTGCAACATGGCCATCCCCACTTGGGGGTTAATTTCTCACTTTCCCTCTCAGTGTCTCACTCCAGCGAGTGCACGTGCTCTATGGCAGAACAAAACAAAACAAATGAAAAACTTAAAAAAAAACGAGTCCACACTCTGAGACCTAGTTAACTACATGCATTTTCCTTACACAGCTGAGGAATTCTCACGTACAATAAAATGAAAAGATTATACAAGAAGCTCAGCTGAGAACTTCCGGGCCTCCACATTCACTCATTAACCAAGGACCCCGGGTTCCAATTTGACCTGATTCTCAGTGTCGTGCTTTGTCATCTATGGCTAATGGGCACGGATTCCTTCACAGCTCTCCCCACCATAGAGGGGTCTTCAAAAAGCTCATTGAAATGTGTATTAAGGAAAATTATGCATGGATTTTGATATTTTTGCCAAAATAAACTCATGCTTTAATTCCATTAAAAAATTGGTGTTAGTTTTTAAAGTTTTATGTATTTTCATCATCATTATTATTATTTTTATTTGCTGCAGGGCACATGTGCTCACCAGAGAGAGACAGAAAGTGAGAAAGCAAGTCACCAGATCTGGGACTTGAACTGTGGTAGGCCATTTGTGGGATTTCCAGTGTCTAAGCACATGCTGACCCCTTTAATTCCATTCTTCATGAACTTTTTGAAGTCCCCTTACACCGTTTGCTCTGAGCTGGCTTTCTTTTTCCTATCAAAGCCCTTATTTTTATTTCCAAAATAAAGTTTTCACCTGTGTTACTGGATTGCTGAGAACCCTTTGCTTCCCTCCAGAACAGTCTAGGTAGCGGTGACAGCCTCCTTTGTTGACCGCCCTGGCGATGGCTTTCCCCCTGCTGTGGCTAACGTCATGCTGCGTCCTCCCTTACCTTACGTGCTCAGAGGCAGGGCCAGCCTAACCTCCTTGGACAATGGGCTGAGTTTCTGACCGGGGTGCGATCTGCGATGGTGCTGCCCTGTACCCTGGCCTGTCACCTCTGAGCACTCGGGAGTGCTGCATTTCAGCATCTCACCCCATGCTGTGGGCTGGACCGTTCAGTGCCATCACTTTACACAGCACAGAACCCTGTTCAAATCTGCACGGCAGCTCTCTCAGAGCTCCTGTGTGAGCATTCTCGCGTGCTCTGTGAAATCCAGGTGCCAGGTGGTGACACAGCTGGCCCCACCTGGGAACAGCCCTGGGTTTGCATCCCAGAACCTCCCTGGGCACCCAAAGTCACATGATCCGGGCAGCTTGGAACTGGTGGTGGATCATGGTGGGGCACCCCATGCAGTTAGGGGGTGCCTGACTCTGTGAATTTATGAAAGAAAGGGATAAGTGGGCTAAAAAGAAAATTATTTGGGGCCCAGGTGCAGTAGTGTATGCTGAACAGCATAGGCTCTATGAGAGACCTGGGTTCGATTCCTGCCTCACCTGTGGTAGTACAAGCCTCTGGTCTCAACTACTCAGGAGGCTGAGGCAGAAGGATTATAACATGGCAAGACCCCATCAAAAAAGTTTATTTTTTTCCAATTGGAAAAGAAAGAGATGTTCATCAGAATATTAATGGGAGACACATAAAAGGTCTACGTGCTCTCACTACATGCACAGAAGGAGACTTTGTGAGATGATGGACGTGCGAATCAACCTGATTGTGCTCAGCATTTCACATGCACATCAAATCACCGCATTATACACTAAACGTATATAAAATTTATCAACTGTACTTGAATAAAACTGGGAAAAGAGTAAAAAAATACTTAAGAGGAGAGAAAAAGATATCACTACTCACTTCCTCATTGTTAATATCTGAAGTACAGTATTAAGTTTAAGGATGAAAAAAAATGGAGTGATTAAATCATCCTCCAAAATACCACACACACACACACACACACACACACACACACACACACACACACATATATAATTTTTAAAAAATTTTAGAGAGATTTTTTGCTATAGGGTGTGTGCACTTGCCAGAGAGTCAGAGAGACAGAAAGTGAGAAATCACCCCCTAAGGGGGATGGCCATGCCACAATCCTTCTCCTTCATTCTCCTCTTGGGATTTTGGGTACGTACCCATGTGCACCTAGTGTGAGTTTCAAGTTGCCAGGTCTGGGGCTTGAACCACAGTCAACTATGTGGGAGTCCAGCGATGTAACCATTATGTCATCTGCTGGTCCCCCACGTGTTAATATTTTGTCATAAAAGCCTTGCCGACCTTTGGTTGTGTAAAGGTCATAGAATAGTACAAATGAAGTTGAAGTCACTGTTCCCCTTCCCCAACCGTAGTCTCTCTCCTCCCCAGAGCTAACAGCTATGATGGACATGGGGAAAAGATAGGAGGATGTTAAGGAAGAAAAACGAGCCCTCCAGAGTCTTCACAGACAGATCCCACCAAAAAGCCAAACTCCACAGCCTCACCATGGACCCCCTGAGCCCAAGACAGCTCCATGAGGTGGTCAAGTTAAAGTGGCATTGGGCTTAGGGTGCCAGGGCTGATGGCCGGGCTTTGCGTCAAAGCTTGGGAGCCCTGCAGACCTGATCAATCCTCATTTAGCATTACTTATGTTATTTTCCCAGAGCTTGGGATAAAAGCCATTCAGGAAACAAAAGGGTGATTGGGGCTGGGATGGGACCACCAGGGAGCTCCTGAGCTGGCTGGGTCCCTGGTCAGAGTGCAGCCGGGCAGGGTGGAGCGTGCCAGGACTCCACCGGGAGGGTTTCCATGGGCATGAATAGGGCCACATCAGAGTTCCCAGGCACGGGCAAGGATTGCAATAGAGAGTGACCTTCCGAGCAGAGACTGAAGCTCGGGTGTTCCCGTTTCCGACCCTGGCCTACACTTGGAAGCGCCTCCTTAACCCTGTAATCACCAAGCTTGCTGCTCTGGAGCTGGGAGTCAGGCCTGGGTGGCCTGATTTCTCGCCTTTTAAGCATCAGAAGGGGAGGGGCTTTTCCCTTGGAAACCCGGAGCTCTGGTCCTAGGAGAAAATGAACTGTAAGGACATTTGAGGCCACCACATTCTTTTCCTGGACCATCTTGTGCAGTTCTGATGTGTGACACAACTCCTTAGACAATGGGACCAAGGGTGGTCGGGACAGCGCCAGTGCTTGGCCTGCCCTGCTCAGCATTTGCCAAATTCTTGTTTTTTTTTTAAAAAAGTGAAGTTCATTTTAGCTGGCAGCTGGTATGTTATTATTCCATGAAGAGGTGTCGAAGGCCACATTTCTTACTATGTAATTACCCTCTCATTTAAAATTAAACGAATTTAGGTGAAAAAGACACCTAAGTTATCAGAGTCTCAAAAGCTTAGGAAAACATATTTTCTTCCAAAGTTGTGGTCCAACCAGGATCATAAGAAGAAAAATATCCACAGAGCCTGGGGTGCTGCTGAGGAATTCATTTACATTGTGGTCTTGTCAAGAGAACTGTCAAATACCTCACTACAGAACTGTCTTAGTCATGGCGAGGCACTGGCGACTGGCTACGTGACAAACAGCCACTTCAATGACAGTATTTGGACAGCACCTGGCTGTTTTCAAATCACATACACTAATCTCACGTGCCTGTTTTGATTTACAGTTCACGCTGTTCTTGAAAGTCTGAGTCTGGGGACCAGCAGATAGTGTGATGGCTACGTCGCTGGACTTCCACATAGCCAGTCACGGTTCAAGTCCCACACCCAGTAGCTTAAAATTCATGCCAGGCACATGTGCATGAATGCCCAAAATCCCAAGATAATGGAGGAGAAGAGATTGCAGCATGGCCATTGCCTCTGGGGGGTGATTTCTCTCTTTCTGTCTCTCTGGCAAGTGCACACGCCCTATTAGCAAAAATCTCTCTTAAAAAAGAAAGAAAAAGAAGGAAAGAGAAAGAAAGAAAAGGTCTGAGTTTGCCTGGGTGGAAGAAAGAATGAGAGAGAGAGAGAATGAGAAAGAAAGAGGAGAAGAAAGAAAAAAAAGAAAGAGAGAGAGAGAAAGAAAGAGAAAGAAAGAAAGAGAGAAAGAGAGAAAGAGAGAAAGAAACAAGAAAGAAAGAAAGAAGAAAGAAGGAAGAAAAGAGGGAAGAAGAAGAAAAAGCAGGAGTGCCGAGTCTGAGCCCTCCTGGTGGATGCCGCCTTGCAGCTGTGCTCCTCCCTGCTCGTCTCCGTGCACAGAGCCAGTCCTCCAGACCCTCTTCTTTCCTGGCATCCCCCCAGCTCTCAAGCTCAACCTCCAGAGCTATTGGATGGAACCACATGAGACTGCCGTTTGCGTAAGTGAACACTGGCTATTGGCAGCTTCATATGGTCCAACCTAGTATTTTGATCTAAACCAAGTCCGTGCCCAAAGGGGCTGTTCACTGAAAACTCACCTTGCCTGAACCTGACTTCCGTGGATTCAGAGAAGGTGAAAGCCACTCCAGATTCCGAAACTCTACAGCTCCTTCGGTCCACGCCACAACCTGCAAGATAGCCCTTTTGTTAGCCCGCTTCTGCAAACGAGGAAACCAAGGCGCACAGAGATGAAATAACTCAGTCTACATCTCACCAGTTAGGATGTGATGGAACCCAGCCCGGGCAGCCTGGGTCTGTCTGTCCTCTTCACTCTGCTATGTCTGCTTCTCATCCAAGGATTCCAAAAGAAGGGAAAGCCAAATAGGATGCGGGGGAGGACCAGTAAAAATAAGTGTGTTAATGTCCAGAGGGGTTTGGACAGTAGCACAAAGTCTCACTAAGATGGCGTAAGTCATAGGAAATGTATTACATACCCAATAAGAGATCTAAACATTGGGCAGGGACACGTGCTAATTAATTTATAGACCAACAACATCATTAAGGGTCAAGTTCTCTGTCTGTATTTATGCCCTCCTCTATTCACTAGGTAGGTTCTCCTCATGGACCCAGAATGGCTGCAGCAGCTCCAGGCTTCATGTGTCAACAATATCCAGGCAGAAAGGGAATTAGCTCTGTCATATGCCGTAAGGGGAAATCAGATTATCCAAGCAAACGTTGACAAACTTGTTCTAGGCTAAACCATGACATTCTTTAAAAGTTCAGCCCTTTGTGCTTCTTGCCAAGCAAGAGGGTTGTTGTCAAAAAAGTTATTCAACTGTTTGTGTTTGGCACCAAACCATTTCCATCAAAGATCTTTGATGATTATGAATTGGGGCTGATATGGGTGAATACATGCAAAAGGGCCAGTCCAGCCCCATGTACAGATTTGTCCCAGTGGTAAGTGAAAGTACAGCTTCATAAAAGGGACAGTAATTCAGGACCAGCAGATGGTATAATGGTTATGTCACTGGACTCCTGCGTAGTTGATCACAGTCCCAGACCCAGTGCCTTGGAACTCACTCTGGGCACATGTGCATCTGTGCCCAGGATTCCAGGAGGAGAATAGAGGAGAAGGGATTGCGGCATGCCCATCCCCCCTGGGGGGTGATTTCTCACTTTCTGTCTGTCTCTGGTGAGCACATGTGCCCTATAGCAAAAATCTCTCTTAAAAAAAAAAAAGAAGAAGAAGAAGAAGTGATAGTAATTCAGTGATCATATTTACAGCCAACTCTTTTATTAAAACTATTTTTGTAAATTATTTTTATTATTATTATTATTATTATTATTATTATTATTATTATTATCCTTAAATTAGCTACAGGGCACAAGCACTCACCAGAAAGAGAAAGAAACAGAGAGAGAGAGAGAGGGAGAGGAAGAAGGGAGGGAAAGCAAGAAACCAAGCCAGCAGGACTGAGACTAGAACCACTGTTGGCCTTGGGGCAGCCCGGTGCCTTAACCACCATGCCACCTGCTGGCCCCACAGCCAACTCTAAATGCAACAAGACTACTATTCATCAGAAAGTGATACAACCATGATCTCCTTTACTTTCCTCTTACCCAGCAGGCATTTGGCAATGTTACCCTAAAATGCACCACGGGTCTTTTACCTACTGGACGCCTCTCCAGCCAATGCACTGAGACAATTTGCTCAGAGAGGTGCTTTGAAGGTCGTCTCATTTCCAATAGGAAAGCTGTAACAAACTGTTAGCTGTTAAAGAGTTTGTCACCTCTATATTTAATTATTTAACTCTTGAGCGATGCCACAACCGAATTGGTACCATAAAACTTTCTCTTTCCTCTTAATTAACAAGCTTTATTTTTAAGCTAAGTTTTAGGTTCACAGGAATGTTGAGAAAAAGTGCTGAGAGTTCCTATGTACCTGGTACACCTACTCCCACAGCCTCTCCTCCTGCCAGCATCCTCCACCAGAGTGGTATATCTGTGACAACCAATGAGCCGACACGGACACATTATCACCCAATGGTTGCAGTTTACATGAAAGTTCATGGTTGGTATTGTACACTGGTTTCGACAAGTGTGTAATGACATGGATCCACAATTGTAGTATCATACAGAGTAATTTCACCGCCCTACAAATGCTCTGTGCTCTCCCTGTTCATTCCTCTCTACCCCAGCCTCCGGCAACCACTAATCTTTTTCCCATCTCCATAGGTTTGCCTCCCCCAGAATGTCAGATAATTGGAATCGTACAATATGTGGCTTTTTCAGATTGGCTTCTTCTACTTACTAATCAACATTTAAGTTTCCTCCATGTCTGTCCATGATTTGACAGCTCATTTCTTTTTAGCAGTGAATAATATTCCATTGTCTGGATGAAACACAGTTTGTTTTTCTACTCTCCTATTAAAGGGCATCTTGGTTACATCCAAGTTTTTGGCAATTATGAATAAAGTGGCTATAAGCATCCATGGACAGATTTTTGTGTGAACATATTCTCAACTCGTTTGGGTGCATACCAAGAAGTGCCGTGGCTGGATCATATGGGCGCAAGAGTATGTTTAGTTTTATAGGAAACCGCCAAAACGTCTTCTGAAGCAGCTGTGCCATTTTGCATTCATGCCAGCAATGAATGAGAGTTCCTGTTGCTCCACATCCTGCTAATATCTTGTGTTGTCAGTGTTTTGGTTCTGGACTATCTATTATGTGTGTAGTGGAATCACATTGTCATTGTCACTTGCATTTCCTTAATGACGTGTGTTGAATATATCGATATTTTTGTATGCTTACTTGCCATCTTTGTATCTTATTTCTTGAAGTGTCTGTTCAGATCTCTGGCCCATTTTTTAATGAACAGTTTATTTTTTAGTGTTGAGTTTTAAGAGTTCTTTGCCTATTTTTAGACAACTGTTCTTTCTTTATCAGATGTGTCATTTGCAAAGATTTCTGTGGCTCAACTTCTCGTTCTGTTGGCATTGTCTTTTGCAGAGGAGAATTACGTAACTTTTATGAAGTCCAGCTTATAAATAAACCATAAGCTTTCCTGGATTGTTTTGCTATTGTATCTCAAAAGTCATAGCCTTACCCAAGGTCATTTAGGCTTCTCCTTTGTTATCTTCTAGGAGTTTTATGGCTTTACATTTCACAGTTAGGCCTGTGATCCATTTTGATTCTTTTTGTGAAGGATGTGAGGACTGTATGTAGATTCTTTTCGTTTTTTCTTTCTTTCCTTTTTTTTTTTCTTTTAATGTGGACATCAAGTTATTTCAGCACCATTTGTTAAAAAGACTATTTTTGCTCCATTGTATGGCTTTTGCTCCTTTGCTAAATATTAGTTTATTATATTTATTTGAGTCTCTTTCTTAGCTATCTATCCTGTCCCATTGCTTGAGTTATCTGCTCTTTCACCAATACCATTTATTTAGTTCTTCTTTTGAATCTTTCATAAGACTAGTTTTTATAATATATATCTTATACATTTTTTGTTAGATTTATCCCTTTGTACTTCATTTTGGGAGTACTAATGTAAATGGTATTGTATTTTTTTTATTCAAATTCCATTTATTCATTTATTTTAGTGTAAAAAAGTATTTGATCTTGTATTGGGTCATCTGAAAAGTCATGACTCATTTTTGCATAGAAAAACACAGAAAAATAAGTCATTACTTTTCCTACAACCCAGTATTCTATCCTTCTATCCTTCAATCTGGCTATAATCAGTTATTCATTCCAGGAGGGATTTTTTTTCAATTCTACATAGAATATCATGTCATCTGCATACAAATAAACTTTGCTTCTTCCTTCCTAATCAGTGTACTTTTTATAACGTTTCCTGCTTTAGTCCATTAGCTAAGACTTCTATTAAGATGTGGAAAGCAGTAGTGAGAGTGGCACATTTTCTTTGTTCCTCATTTTAGTAGAAAAGCTTGTGTTTCTCATCCTTAACTATGATGGTGGCTGTAGGTTTTTGTAGATGCTCTTTATTATGTTGAGAAGGACCCCCTCTGTTCCCAGTTTGCTGAGTGTTTATCTTGAATGAGTGCTGGATTTTGTCAAGTGCTTTTTTCCTGCATGTAGTGATATGATCATGTGATTTTTCTTCTTTAGCCTATTGGAGGTGGTAGGTTATATTAATTCATTTTTTAATTAGTTTTGGCATAGCTAATTTTAAAATGGGAAGGATTATCACTAAGTTGTGGTGTATACTTTGTTTTTTCCATTGTTGGATTTGCTATGTTAAAACTCTGTTGAGGACTTTCGCATGTATGTTGATAAGACACATTGGTCCCATGATTTTTTTTTTTTTTGAGAGGTCTTTGCTATAGGGCATGTGCGCTCGCCAGACAGACAGAGAGAGACAGAGAGACAGAAAGTGAGAAATCACCCCCCCAGGGGAGATGGCCACGCCGCAGTCCCTTCTCCTCCATTCTCCTCTTGGGATCTTGGGCACGCACATGCGCCTGGCGTGAGTTTAAGCCACCAGGTCCGGAACTCGAACCGCAGTCAACTACGTGAGAGTCCAGCGACATAGCCATTACGCTAACTGCTGGACCCAGTCCCATGATTTTCTTATGATGCCTTTCTCTGGGTTCAGTGACGCTAGCCCTCATAGAATGAGCGAGGAAGTGTTCCCTCTGCTTGTAACTGCTGGACGAGATTGTAGAGAACTGGTCTAATTTCTTCCCTAAATGTTTGGTAGAATTAAACAGTGAACCGATCTGGGCCTAGTGTTTCCCATTTGGAAGAATCAGTGGTAAGGAACTCTTGATTCCATTTCTTTAATTAATATAGTTTTATTCACGTTGTCTATTCTTCTGTGAGTTTCAGAAGACTGTTTTGCAAGGAATTAATCTATTTCACTTAGGTTATCAAATATGGGGTATAGAAATGTTCTTAATATTTCTTTTTATCTTTTTTTTAGAGAGATTTTTGCTATAGGACACATACACTCGCTGGAGAGACAGAGAGAGACAGAGAGACAGAAAACGAGAAATCACCCAGCCCCCAGCAATCCCTTCTCTATTCTCCTCTCGGGATCTTGGGCACTTATACTCACATACCTGGCATAAGTTTAAGCTGCCAGGTCTGGAACTTGAACTGCAATCAACCACGTGGGAGTCCAGTGATGTAACCATTACATAGCTGCTAGTCCTCCCTCCACTTTTTATTTTTTTAATCTTTTTAATGCTTATGGGATCTATAGTAATGTTTCCTCTTTTATTTCTAATATCAGTAATTTGTGTCATCTCTCTTATCCAGGTTAGCCTGGCTATAGTCTTATTGATAATATTAATCATTTGAAATAACCATCTTTTGGTTTTGTGAATTTTCACTATTGATTTCCTGTTTTCAAATGTATTGATTTCTGCACTTACTACCTTTTTCTCTACTTTCTCTGGTTCAATTTGCTCTCCTTTCCGATTTTCTAAAGTGGAAGCTTAAGTGATTGATTTCAGAGCTTTCCTCTTTTCTATACTAAATCTGAACCAAAAGGCTGAGATGTGATCTCTTTCCTCTTTTATAGCCTGTGTTTGATGCCATAAATTTCCTTCTAAGCACTGCTTTCACTGCACCTGATGTGTTATTAGTTGAATTACCATATAGTTGAGGATTTCCCAGTTTTCTGTGATGTATTTCTTGTTTAATTCCATTGGGGTATGGGAACAGATATTATGGTTTATTTTATGTTTGTTATAGTGTGTTATGGCCTGGAACAAGCCCTCCTCTCTTTTTTTTTTTTTTTTTTTTTGGGAGGTTTTTTTTTTTTTGAGAGGTTTTTGCTATAGGGTGTGTGTGCTCACCAGACAGACAGAGAGAGACAGAGAGACAGAAAGCGAGAAATCACCCCCCAGGGGGGATGGCCACGCCGCAATCCCTTCTCCTCCATTCTCCTCTCGGGATCTTGGGCACGCAGGCACATGCTCCCGGCGTGAGTTTTAAGCCACCAGGTCCAGAAATCGAACCGCGGTCGACTACGTGGGAGTCCAGCGACATAGCCACTACGCTAACTGCTGGTCCCAGGCACTCCTCTCTTAAGGGCTGAGTTTCATTCCTATGACTAGGTCATTCAGTAAATTAGTCAGTAAGTGAGGAGCTTAAAGATGGATGTCTTGTGGTGTGTCCTGGTGCCACTGGAAATGTATTTTTCAATAGCTATCATGTGACATCACACTAGAATAATGTAATTCTATCCTTACAAAAAGCACACATTAGATAAGTGTCTGAAAGTGACAAGGCACACCAGAACACAATAATTTCAATCTAGCATAACCGTTTTCATTTATTCTGAATACAGCTATGGGTGCACAATAAAGTACAAATGTGTAAATGAAATATGGAGTCTCACGTGATTGTGAACACTTCATGTAGTGAATACTAACCAACTGCAGGAACACAACAAAGACTGAGAAAGGGGTTCCCAAGACAGATGAGAAAGGGGGTTTCTGGCACTGGATAGCTGGTCGTAAGTCCCAGGAGATCAGTAAGTGAGGAGTGGCTGTATTTGGTTCGATCCTGTTGATCTTCGGTGATTGATTTCAGATCTTTCCTCTTTGCTACTATTGTTGATGGAGTAGTCTGTAGATGCCAGCTCACAGATGGTATTCTTCAGTTCAGCAACGTCTTCGCTAACATTCTTCCAGCTGGATCTGGATCTGTTTATTCCTGATAGAGGTGTGTTACAGTTTCCAGGCATTTCTTATTTCCCCTTGCAGTTCTATCAGCTTTGTTTCATGTGTGCTGATGTTCTGTTGTTAGATGCACACACATTAAGAATTGTCATGTCTTGGGACCAGCAGTTAGCGTAATGGCTATGTTGCTGGACTCCCACGTAGGCGACCATGGTTCGCGTCCCGGACCCGGTGGCTTAAAACTCACACCGGGCACGTGTGTGTGCGTGCCCAAGATCCTGAGAGGAGAATGGAGAAGGGATTGCAGTGTGGCCATCCCCACTGGAGGGTGATTTCTCGCGTTCTGTCTCTCTCTGTCTGTCTGGCGAGCACCTGCGCCCTATAGTGAAAACCTCTCAAAAAAAAAAAATTTAAAAAAAAACCCTCATGCCAGGTGCATGTGTGTGCTTGCCCAGGAACCAGAGAGGAGAATGAAGGAGAAGGGATTGTAGCATGGCCATCCCCCCTGGGGGGTGATTTCTCGCTTTCTGTCTCTCTGTCTCTCTCTGTCTGTCTGGTGAGCACACACACCCTATAGCAAAAACCTCTCCAAAAAAAAAAGAATTGTCATGTCTTCTTGAAGCAGTGACACCTTTGTCATTATGTAATGCCTGTCTGTACTGATAACGTTCTGTGTGCTGAAACTTGCTCTGTCTGAAATGAATACAGACACTTCTGCTTTCCTTTAATTAGTGTTACCATGGGTTTCTTTCTCCTCTTACTTTGAACCTATATGTGCATTAATATTGAAAGTAGGTCTCTGGTAGACAACAGATAGTTGGGTCTTATTGTGTGTGCAGAGATTTTTGCTATAGAGTACATACACTTCCTGAGAGACAGAGACATAGAGAAAGAGAGTGAGAAACTACCCCCAGGGGGATGGCCATGCCAAAATCCCTTCCCCTCTGATCTCCTCTCAGGATTTTGGGCACACACGCACACATGCCCAGCGTGAGTTTCAAGCTGCTGGGTCCAGGATTCAAACCACAGTCAACCATGTGCGAGTCCAGTGCCTTAACCACTATGCCACCTGCTGGCTCCCAATATCTTTATTTTAATTGATGTATTTAGACCATGTTATTTTAAATGGTGATTGGTGTGGTTGAAATGTCTCCCATATTTGTTTTCTATTTGTTGCTTTGCCCTTGGTTTCCATTTTTATCCACCACTCTTTTTCTGCCTTTGGAAGTTTTTATTGAGCATCTCATATAAATCTATTTCTCTTCCCTTTCTTAGCATATCAATAATATTTCTTTTAAAAATTTTTAGGGGGCCAGCATGTGGCATGGTGATTAAGGGTGCTAGACTCCCACATGACCGACTGCGGTTTGAGTCCTGGACCTGGTGACTTGCTTTCTCACTCCCCCCCACGCACTCTATCTCTCTCTGGTCAAATAAATAAATAAAATTTTTTTAGAATTATTTATTTATTATTGTTATTATTATTTTTCACATGAATTTTGCCAAAGACAGAGAGAGAGAAAGAGAGGGAGAGTGAGAAAGCAAGCCACCAGGTCCGGGACTCGAACCATGGTCAGCCATGTGGGAATTCCAGCATCTTAACCACCATGCCACCTGCTGGCCCCAATAAATGAAATAAAATAACTTTAAAACATTTTTTTAGTTTTTGCCCTATAGTTTCTTATTCCATTTAAAATATTACTATACCTCTTCATGAGTCACGTTAGCACCTTATAATAACCAAACAGTCCCCTCCCATCCCTTGTGCCACTGCTGCCATTCATCCCACTTCTATCTAAGCAAATACAGGCATATATATTTAAATACATTGTTGATGTTATTTGAACAAACTGTTTTCTGCTTGATCAACTAAGAACAAGAAATATAAAGTTTTGGGGTCAACAGGTGGCATGGTGGGTAGGGATGCTGGACTCCCATTTGGCTGACTCTGGTTCAAATCCTGGACCTGGCAGCTTGCTTCTCACTTGCCCTTTCTTTTTCTTTGTCTCTGTCTGTCAAATTTAAAAAATAATAATGACAAATGGAATTAAATAAATAAATAGTTCTTTTAAAAAAAAAAGAAAAATGAAGTTTTTATCTTACCTTCACTTGTTCCTTCTTTGATGGTCTTCCTTTATGTAGAGCCAAGTTTCTGGCCTAGATTATTTTCCTTCTCCTAAAGAGCATCTTTTAATGTGTCTTGCAAGGCATATCTACTGGGAACAAATTTCCTCGATTTTTATTTGACTGATCATGCCTTTTATTTCCTCTTCACTTTTGAAGGATAATTTCATACGGTGGGAATTCTAGGTTGGTGGCTTTTCTTTCAACATTTTAAATATTTAATTTCACTTTCTTCTTGGTTGGATAGTTTCTGAAGAGAAGTCCCTCAGAGGAAAGGTGTTTTTCCCTGTGCCTTCTTCCAGAGTTTTTCCTTTATCTTTTCTTTACTATAGTTTGAATAGAATATGGCAGTTGAAGTAGATTTTCCTTTTTAGCATTTATCCTGCTTGGTGTTCACCGAGATTCCTGGATATGTGATTTGGTGTCTGACATTAATTTGGTGACAATTATCAGGCATTTTTGCTTCAAATACTGCTTCTGTTCCTTTCTCTCTTTCTTCTCCTTCTATTATTCCTATTAGTGCATGCTACACTTTCGGTTGTTGTCCCTCAGTTCTTGGGTATTCTGGGTTGTTTCGATCTTTGTTCTCTTTGTTTTTTCAGTTGTGCAGGTTTCTGCTGTTATATCTTCGTGCTTGGAGATTCCCTTCCCAACTGTATTCAGTCTACAAATTGCAAACTTCCTAAAAGGGTCTTGCCGACTCACAGGGCTCCTGCTAGATCAGCAGAAAGGTCCAGAGACAGACAGAGGCCAAGTACAGCCAGGTGGGCTGACTCATCAATAGGTGTGGTTTGTAGCTGTTTTCACCCTGTCACTTATTATGGCTTCTTAGCGAAGGCTCCTTTGAAACGTTGAGACATTATAATTTAAAGAAGAAAGGAGAGTTCAAGCCAGAAGAGAGAGCACCAGCATCTGAAGTCTTGCATTTTAATCCCTCATTTTTCAAGTGTAGGCTATATCTTTCTTCAACATGGACCTCCTCACCTATAAAATGAAAGTTTTAGATGACGTGCTTGATCTCAAAAGTCCCCTGCTGTTCTGACCATGTCTAATGAATTAGTATGATGAAAGTGTAGTGATTTTTATACTCTCGGCACTACACTATTGTACCAGTTCACCGAAGGGCATAAAAACATGGCCTTAGCAATTCTACATACGTGCACAGTTCCTCACACCAGTAGGGTCCCAGAACAGATAACAGCACTGCTGGCCTGCATCCCAAGGGCTCTGTTTTGAGGTTTGATAAGATCAAACTCCAATAATAACCAAAAATATCTCCACTGTTTGGCCTGCAGGGAGAAAAAAAGCATAAACAAAAACCTCGATTTGACTAAAATACCAGCAGAGAGGGACCCCATCTGCGACCTTGTGAAGGAATTTTGGGAATGAGTGACTAAGAGAGAAATGCGAGGGAGCTGCAGCACTGTGCTGTGATTAAGTAAGTCCGGTCGTAAGGTGCTTGGGAAACCCATGGGGGAAAGAGCCACAATGACGTGGGATGTTGTCCTGCCGACAGTTCAGCTCAGAAGTGACCCACTTAGGAATCCAGTGGAATAATGTGTATTAATCATAGCCGATTGGAAAATAAAACAGAGGCGTAGATCATGTCAATTGTCTCCAAAAGAGATAAAATAACCAGAAATAAATTTACCAACAAATGTGCAGTTTCTATAAAGAAAATGTTATAATTTACTCTTAGACACAAAAGAAAAACAGATCAAGTGGGAAAGTATATTTTGTTTTTCATGAGAAAGACTCAATATTAGGCACAGCAGGTGGAGAGATGATTGGAGCGCTGAATTCCCACATAGCCAACCCCGGTTCAAGTCTTCGAGCTGGTGGCTGGCTTTCTCACTTTCTCTCTCTCTCTGGTCAAATTAAAAATAGATAAATAAATAACAACAATAATAATAATAAAGAAAATTAACTAAATCTTTTTTAAAAAAAGGGAAAAAAGACTCAATATTATGAAGAGATCAAATCTCCCTAAATTAACCTATACATTTAACATAATTTCAATAAAAACTGTAAATGATTTTTAAATTGAAAAAGTGTCTCTAAAGTTTGTGTAAAATAAATGAGGAGCCAGATGGCGGCACAGTGTAAAATGCAGTGTTCTGCAAGGCTAACCTACATGGGAGGTTGCATGTTTGTCTCCAGAGAATTCCCTGAGGAGGCCAGGCACATGCATACTCATGATCCGGGTCCGCTGAGGCTGGGGGTGGATTTCAGCAACAAGATTCTGCTGGAGGTGCTTTCTCCTTTGCCCTCCCTCTTTCTTTATCTCTCTCACTCATGAAATAAATAAATAAGCATTACATTCAAAAAAGAAATCAATAAGACTTGCCAGTAAGATTCTGAAAAATAAGAGTAATTAAGGGAAACCAAAACAACCAGATATTTTAAAATATTAAAAACTTTAATAGAAGGACCAGCAGTTAGCATAATAGCTATGTCGCTGGACTCCCATGTAGTCAACCATGGTTCAAGTGCTGGTCCCACTGGCTTAAACTCACACTGGGCACGTGTGCTTGCATGCCCAAGATCCCGAGAGGAGAATGGCAGAGAAAGGATTGTGGTGTGGCCATCCCTCTGGGGGATGATTTCTCGCTTTCTGTCTCTCTCTGTCTTTCTGGCAAGCACACATGCCCTATAGCAAAAACCTCACACACACACACACACACACACACACACACACACACACACACACACACACACACACACACACACACACACACACACACAAATAAATTCAGTAGAAATCAGCAAATGGCATAATGGTTATGTAGCTGGACTCCCAGATGGCCAACTGCAGTTCAAGTCCCAGACCCAGTAGCTTCAAACTCACACTAAGCACGTGTACATGCACGCCCAAAATCCTAGAGGAGCCTGGAGAAGAAGGGATTGCAATGTGGCCAACCCCACCAGAAGGTGATTTCTCACTTTCTGTCTCTCCAGCACAAGTACCCTATTGCAAAAATCTCTCTTTTAAAAAAATCAGCAAATTGAGCCTATAAATATTTTTTTATGATGTTTTTGCTTTAGGGCATGTGTGCTCACTGGAGAGACAGAGACAGTGAGAAGGAAATTGAGACATCACCCCCCAGGGGGTACACTGCAATCCCTCTTCCTCTATTCTCATCTCAGGATTTTGGGCATGCACACACACGTACCCGGTGTAATTTTCAGATCACTGGGTCCAGGACTCAAACCGTGGTCAGCCATGTGGGATGTAACTGCTGCACCATTTGCTGGCCCTACTCATAAATATTTTTAAAATTACATCATGGGACCAGCAGATGGTGTCATGGTTACATCACTGGACTCCCACATGAATGACTGCAGTTCAAGTCCCAGACCCAGAGGCTCGAACTCATGCTGGCACTTGTGCGTCCGTGCACAAAATCCTGAGAGGAGAATGGAGGAGAAGGGCTGGCAGCATGGCCATCCCTGGGGGAATGATTTCTCACTTCCTATTTCTTCAGTGAGTGCATGCTCCCTATAGCAAACAAACAAACAAACAAAAAAACAAACAAAAAAAAGATCAAAAAATTACATCACAACTCATATCAAGTGGGGTTTATACCAGGAATGTAAAGTTGTTTCAGTATTCAAAAATTGGTATAATTTGCAAGATTAACAGATTAAGAAATAGTCTTGCATTTCAAAATGTGCTGTATTATGTCTTTTAAGCTTTTAAAAATTATTTTACTTTTTATTGACATAGAACTGTACGTATCTGTGGGTACGAGGTGATTTTTCAGTATAAGAATACGACGTGTGATGGCCGAATCGGAGTAATTAGCATGTCTGTCATCTCAACTACATGTCATCACTTTGTGTTGGAAATATTCAAAATCTTCCTTTACTTACTCTGAGATATACACTGAATTGTTAACTATGTTCATCCACCATATCTATAACACTAGAAATTGTTCCTCTCTTTTTATTTTTTTGTAAATATTTCTTGCCATAGGGTGCCTGCACTTGCTGGAGAGAGAGAAACAGAGACAGAGGCAAAGTGAGAAATCACCCCCGGGTGGCCATACTGCAGTCCCTTCTCTTCACTCTCCTGTGCCCAGGATTTGGGGCACGCATGCACACATGCCTGGTGCGATTTGCAAGCCACCAGGTCCAGGACTTGAACTACAGTCAGCCCTGTGGGAGTCCAGCACCTTAACTACCATGCCAAATGCTGGCCCTGAAATTGTTCCTCTTTTCTATCTTGTTTTCCTTAATCAGCACCCTCTACCTTTCTCTTCTTTCCTGTCCTTCTACTCTTTTTTTCCATGGGATCATTTTTTTTCAATTTTCACATCTGAGAGAGAACATGTGGTCCTTCTCTGTCTGTGTCGGACTTATTCAAATAAACGATCCAACAACCCACCTCAAGGAACTGGAAAAACAAGAACATCTGAATCCCAAAATTAGAAAGAAAGAAATAATAGAGATTGGAGAAGAAATAAACAAACTTTATTTTTCTGGGAAAAAAAGAGTTTGTTTTTGAAAAGTTTTTTTTTTTTTTAAACAGATAAACCATTAGCTAGTCTAAGGGTAAAAGAGAGAAGGCCCAAATAACTAAAATCAGAATCAAAAACTGATACCACAGAAATATAAAAGAGAATTAGAGACTATTCTGAACACTGATAACCAATGTGCCACTCTGGGGGGGTGTCGATGATGGCTACATATGCACGGAGGCAGGAAGTTGGGGGAAATCTTTGTGCCTTCCTCTCAATCCTTCTGTGACCCTAAAACTGTTGGAAGAAAGTCTTCTTCTTCTTTTAAGTCAAATAATGCATTAGGCTGTTACAAAAGTAATACTCCTCTTTGTCTCTTTGCTACTGACCCTTAATCTTCCTAGAAGAAACAACATTCAACTCTTAGTTATTTCCTCATGTATTTCTGTTTTTCCATATTTCTAAAAACTATGCAGAATATTAAATTCTTGATTGTTTTTCTGTTTTAAACATTATCTACAGCTTTTACAACTACCACATAGGATGGCATGAAAGGAGCTAGTGAATGAAATGGAGAAAGCCAAATCTGTAGAAAGAAAATAAGAGAGAGAGAGAGAGAGATGGGAAGAGCGAAGAGAAGTGCCAATTTCAAGAAAAGGGAGTGGCTCATGGTGTCAGATGTTCCAAAGCTGGCAGGAGGTAAGGACCAAACTGAGTCCACTCCACTTAGCTGCCAGGTTTTAACTTTCTCTTTCAGCTTTGACAGTTCCAGGAGGGGTAGTGGGTGTTACAAAATGAACAGAACTGTTTGGAAGTGGCTAAGGAACTCTTTCTGGGTTGTCTGGACATTGACACCCTGCCCCTCCAGCCACCGGGGAGAGGAGAGGGTACAAGTGGGAATTGAGTTAGAAGTCCTGGGCCTAAGTAGAGCAAGCCAGGCTATAAGAGACAGGCACTGTATGTCCCCACTTAATATATCCCAAGTGTCCTCATTCTATAGCAGAACTTGAAAGATTAGAAGGTGTAATAGCAGGGAGGGCAACAGAAGATACGAGAAACCGTATAGGAGTGGGGGACTGGGTGGTTAATGGGGAGAGAGGGAGGGATGAAGGAGATGGGGGGACGCATAACAAAAATAAACGTGAAAAGTTATTCTGATGAGGGAACCAGCAGTTAGTGTAATGGCTATGTCGCTGGACTCCCACGTAGTCGACCGCGGTTTGCCTCCCGGACCCAGTGGCTTAAAACTCACGCCCGGCACTTGTGCGTGCGTGCCCAAGATCCCGAGAGGAGAATGGAGGAGAAGGGATTGTGGCGTGACCATCCCCCCGGGGGTGATTTCTCACTTTCTGTCTCTATGTCTCTCTCTGTCTGTCTGGTGAGCGCACGCACCCTATAGCAAAAATCTCTCAAAAAAAAAAAAAAGTTATGCTGATGATAATGTATATGGAAATATCCATGTCTTGACTAATATGCACTATATTCACACTGGGAAAAACCATTTTGTACGCTCAGA